ACTTTATTTATATATCTGAATTTCAATTAAAACATATTCATTTTTAATCAGCATATTCCAATATGCATGAACCAATGGGCTGAAACAGAGAGCCTAGAAAACAGCTTCCAAGTAACTTCCGGCAGAACAATAATCTGTGTTCTCTGAGAAAAGGATCTGACAATGTGATTGGATCGATTAACAGTGCAAGCTTCGCATGCTACTCTGTTCATCCCAAGTGGAAGTGATTTGTTTCACTGAGGGTCCGTTAAATAAAAAAAAATTTCTCAGTGACAAAGGAGGAACCATGTGTGAACAGTTTCCAAAGATGCACAGCTAGTTTTCCATATGAATGGACTCATCAGTTTCTTGATGTCACTGCATAACTTGCATTAATATCAAAACCTTTTAGTCCCCCAAGAAAGCTAAAAAGATAGTCTAATGTCATGAACCGATCACGTGCCTGATCATGATTTTTCTAAAGTTTCTGTCACTTCTTTTCACCAAATCCTAAGACCAGACGAGGCAGTGTGCAAGATGATGCATCAGACGAAGGTTCAGCCACATGACCGTCCCACTGTTACCAGATCCCCATTTGATATTTACCATTCGAGACAGTACTAAACATCAATAGATTAGTTCACTTGATCCTAAAGACTTTGGCTCAACTAATATCATCCATTACCATGAAGAAGACTTGGTCTCTACTGGCTTTTCTTACTCTCACACTGTTGTTATCAGCTTGGTCTGCTAAGTCCAACCCAGAAGTTCATTCTTTGCCATTAAGCAGGACTTCATCTTCTCAGGCACATAAGAGGAATCCCGTGAAGCAGTTGGACTCATCTTTCAGAAGAATACCTCCAAGCACCCCTAATCCTACACAGAACCAGTAAGCTCTATTTACTCTTAAGCTTCAAGCCCTTTCAAAGTTTGCAGTTACTGATTGACAAGAAAATTTCATTTTTCTTTTGCAGGTTCAATCCTCCCACAGATGGGTGAGGGGACAGAAATTCCTTTTCATTTCTTTCATGTCTGTGTAACAGAAGAGCTGTCGAGTAGTACACTGGTGTTTCAATTCCAGCATCTGCCCACGGTTAAGTGTGCTGCAATTTTGATTGGATTTACAGTTTTGCTGACATAGCTTGTTAATTCTCTGATGTACTTAAATCTGTAAGAATCCAATAATGATTTTTTTTTTTTTTTAGTGTGTAGCAAAGTTACAAACATCTGTCAAAACCCAGATTATGATAATTATATCTGTCCAAATATTTCATCCTTTTCTTTACAGAAGAAGAGCGGTTGCTTGAAGATACCCTCATATTTCCACAAACTAACCTTCCTCACTCTGTAATTAGCCTTTCCCTATACACAGTCTATGCAATTTAATCCCTCAACTAGATTACTAGCCAAGAGAATTTCATTCAAACTTACAAGGATCAAACCTTTGGAATCTTCCAGCAGTAGATTCGGTGTCAGATTTCTTTATCCTATCGGAGATATTATCATCTCCTTCAGTTTTGAGTATTTTTGCCAATACATGACTAATAAAACAAGTTGGAAGCCCAGGTCGGTGAATTCCTCCGTTTGAAAGTTGATGGATACTGTAGTGAAAATCTGCTTGGATTCTTTTCTGAGGAGCATTATTTAGGGTTTGAACCTTGAATTGTGATCAAATGTAATTTTTCAAGACTTCACGAAAAGGTTTCATGCCAGAAAACGAAAATGGACAAGGTTAATTAGGGATGAAGATTTGCTCGCATGACTGCATTATGTTAACTCTGCCTTGCTATAAAAATAATTGAAAATACAGAGCAGTTTATTATAAAAGCCTAAAGGGTACAACCTGTAATGAATAATCCCTAAACAAAATAAAATAGTCGTGTATGTGTGCGTGATTTAAAACAAAATCTCATTTTTCATAATGTCTCTAAGCTCAAGATTTGACCTAGTTAAGTTTCAACTTTCAACTTTCAACAAAGTAACTCTATAATCAGGGCATGGCAATATTAGGTTAATAAATTTAGAATCCAAATTCCACGAACTACGTGATGATTCTCAGAAAAATATTATGCTTACAAAAATGTTAAAAAAAATAAATTGACATTTAATAAAATTAAAATGGAAACAAATACTAAAGTTTTGTTATGAAAAATATATTTCAGATGTGTTTATTAGAAAAGTACTCCTCTATTTAATCGATCCAACGTTCTTCAGATTTTTTTTTTATTCCCTCTGCCTAGATCAAACTTAAAAGAAAAGCTCAGTGATTATCCAATACAGTTTGATTTGTGGCCAACCATAAGACTAGAACTCCTCATCAACAGTTATGCGTATCAATGGAAACCTAGCTTTCAGCCAAACTCTTCCTTGACTAATTTGTTAATCCAGATACACTAATCTTAAACCAAGGAATATTGAACATTTGAAGAAACTTTTGTTATTTTGTGTTAGAGGGGAGGGACGAAATTTAAGTACATATTTTCCTTTTTAATTATTTTGTTAAAATGTTTTATCCAGCTAAAAAAGATATTGTAATAATTCTTTAATCGGAAACGGCTAGTTTTCATCCTTATCTAACTACTTTGTAAGTACTTTCCTATTCAAATTATATGTTAGGAATTTTCATCTAACTGGAAAACAATAGCAAAGGATGTTGCCTACAAATAAGGGAGAATACAAATGAGCAATGAGTAGTGAAATTGACAATTAAACTCAAAATCTTATGACTGAAAGTTTATATAAGTCCTTTCATTTTACTATATATTTTTTTATTAAGTTGAACTATATTTGATGTGAGACTTTTCATATCATTTTAAGCATATTCATACTTTGACGTTGACACTCTAATAATGTCTCTATCAAGTGTGAGCTCATTATCTTCTTTATATTAAAGACACCAAAAACATCAATTCTCCACCATCTAACTAAGGCAACCCCAATTTTTTTTGCTTTAAAAGATGGTGCACAAAAATTCTTTGGCAAAACTAGAGTTATTTGCACAACCTAACTTTGAATGGCATGCAATTACAAGCTTTCAACATCATCTTTTCACAAGTGTCAAATGAAATTAAGCTTCGGTGCCACTTGTCAAAATGCAAAAATAAAACAAAACAAGAAGCAAAACCCAAAACAGAGAAAGAACAAATAGGAAGTCTATATTTGTTTGGTTTGTTAATTTCTAAAGCCTTGAATCAACAACTAACACAATTAAGAGGTTATTAAATGGAATCACTATCAATGATGACAAGGTATTATATGTAATAGTCCTCACCCCATCTCACTAAGGTAGGAGAGGTTAAAGGCTCGATCCCTGAGAAGATTCTAAAAGACTTCTTTGGTGAAGTGAAGAATAACCCATGTACTATTATAAGAAAAGTCACACGTGGGCCCGTAAGGGGACACGTGCCACTACCGTATTTGCCAGCGTAAAAGGAGCTATGCTGTTATATAAAAAATATGTTTTTGAGCCTTCTCAAACTCGAACCTCCAACCTCTACCTCAGGGATCGAGCCCTCAACCTCAACCTCTCAATGATACCAGGATTGGCCACAACCTCACTAAGGCAGAAGATATTGGGGCTCGATCCTTGAAAAGGTTCTAAAAGACCTTTTTAGTGGAGTAAAGAATAACCCATATACTACCGTAGGGAAAGTCACACGTGGGCCCGTGAGGGGACACCTGCCACCACCGCTTTCGCTAACATAAGGGGCTGAGGGCCGTGCTATTACATATATATAGGGAGAGCTTAAAAGAAAGCAAAAGGAAAGGTAGAGTTGATACCCAAATTTGAGCACGAAAGAATTAGTTGGTCTAAGAAATTATAAGGTGTTAATCTAGACTTGAAAAGTCTTGATGACAATATTAATGATGACAAACTGAAGGAGCTACTTTTGACATTTAAACTATTACATCATGCAAGGTTATGCGTGATTCACTTAGACATAGCAAGTTTTGCTTTTGTGGCTTGTTCTACTCCTTAGCAAGCAAGTAAAGCTTTAAAGGAAATGAGTGATAAAATGGTAGGTCAAAAACCTCTTTATATTGTTGTGGCTCAATGCTCAATGAAAAGAAGAGATGAAGGGCATGTACTCATTTGGTTTAGATATGTGTACATGGTAGAATTGTACTAATTCATATGTACTATAATTCCTATATATCATCATAGAGCACCTACCCTTGCCCCTCGACAATTGTACTATAATTAGGAAACACGCGGATTGATACCATATCAATTAGCTACTTTTGATTTCCAACAACAACTCTAGCCTAAAATGTTTTTTGGTGTTGCTCTAAATTTTATTATGTTACATTCTTAAGAATGGGGAGCAACTACTTAAAAAATAGGAAGAAAGAACAAATAGGCAAGAGCCATGGAATAACATTACATCTTGCTCATGTGTTATCTCCTTTGTATTTGGGTAGTTACTTCTTATTCTTAACAAGTGGTGTTAGAGTACAAAGAACCTAGTAGGAATAGCTAGTGTCATGAAGGTTAATGCCAAAATATCTATAAGCAAATAAATGTTATACAACATAGAGATGTGCAGAGAACCTAGGATGAGGAGAAATGTTCCCAAGCATAGAGAGCCATGCATGTGTTCTAGAAAGGTTCCGCTTGGGCAAAGGATGTGTTTTTTACAAGGTTGAAATTTCCAACATGTGTAGCAAAACCAGATGCTATATAGAAACTCCAATCAAGAGTTTAGATCATCGATAACACTCAAAATGACATGGGCCTGCCTATTGTTCTTCAGGTCTTGTATGTGAGTTTGGGTGTGAACATTAGCTTTGGCCTTTGCTATACCAAAAAATCAGTGCATGATGCTAGGTTAACATCTATATCCCTTCAGTAAGCCTCTTGCACCAAACTGTACAGCAAAAGTTATAAAGGTGTTGCTAGAAATGGATCCATCCAAATTTATCCATCTCAATGAACATCTCATTGAATATCCTATATATATATATATATATATATATATCAACTTAAACGCACTCACACTTAAGCATAATAAAAATATGTTAATATGAGAACATCAATTGATAGTAATTAGTCCCAACACATAACAAATAACAAGGAATTAAATGACACAATTTGAATTACATGAAATTATTCACAGCCTACTTCAAGGAAAGATATAATATTATTTTTATTTATATTTTGGTATGAATTTACTTTTTATCAAGGACAATCTTATATAGAAATTTAAATGTTCAAAAATCAAATTCAATTTCTAAAAAAAGCTCCCCAGGTAATCGAACTCATGAAGGCATCCTCCAACCTTAATAACATGATAAAATTATCTTTTATTGATTTTTAAATTATAAAAGCTCGAATGCACCTCAATGTCCATCCAAAAGTAAACAAGTGCACTTTTGTTGCGTGTATTTATATATGCGCGCGCGTCTGGATATCCTCTCCATGCATGCTCTCCCTCAATACTCATCCTTATTAGTCTATTAACTGTCGATAATTTGCTGTAACTCTATAATTAGTGTTTTTGTTTTTCTCATGCCCAATATTAGGTAGTACATGCTTGGATAAGCTCTAAAATCAATTTTAGATGTCAAAACCATAGTTTTTTTAAAATATATCCAAATACCGGCTTATATATTAAAATCAATTATAAATCTAGAATCATATTTTTTTTAAAAAAAATATCTAAACACTCACTATATATATCAATTATGAATCCAAAACTATAATATTTTTAAAAATATTCAAATACATTTATATATATCAAATTAATTATGAGCTTACATACACCTAGATATTAAAGATAGCATGGTCATATAAAAAATTAGGGAGATTACATTTCAGAAGCTTCTCCATATTGCTTTCATCAAATCCACATTCAAGGGCATTTTAGAAGTACTTCCCAAAAATTAATTTGGAATCAAATTGAATACCCAAACGATTTTCCACTTTCTAAAAACGCTTTAGAAAGTGATAGTGGTGGGAAAAACAAACCGGCCCTTAGCACTCCACGATCAACGTTCTATCTACATCTCCAGATTAATAGAGTAAAGGGGGTTCTAGTTGCTTAAATACAGTATGGTTCATTTTGAACCAATGTGACCCAGTATCTTGATGGTTCTCACCGACAAATAAAAAATATAATGCTGATAGAAATGCTAAAATAAATAAAGA